ACTGCAGGAACAAAATCACCAAGGCTGCTTAGACAGCATCTTCTAAACCCATGACCACTGCCATCCAGAAGGACAAGGCAGTAGATACATGGGAAAATCTGCAAGTTTATTTCCAAGCCACACATCATTCTAACTTAGAAATATACCACTGTTCCATCAGTGTCATTGGATCATAATCCTGAACTCTCTCCCTCACAGCTCTGTGCACTACCACTAAATTAATTGCATTGTTTTAAGAAGACAGCCCATCATCTTCTGAAGTGCATCTAGGGATGAACAATAAATGCTGGCCCAGCCACATCCCATGAGTGAATTAAGAAAAAAAATAAGAAACAGATGCACGTCAGCCATTTTGCCTATTGATTCTGCTCAGCCACTTGATAAGATCATGGCTGATCTTCACTCTCAACTTGACTCTCCCACCCATCTCCATATTCCCTTAAAGTGCAAGAATCAATTGATATCAGCTTAACTGTATCTCACATGTGCTGCAATAGAGGATCCAATGATTTACAAGGCTCTGAGTGAAGAAATGTCTCCTCGTCTCAGTCAACCACTCATCCTAAGATTACGATCCTTAGATCAAGATTTTCTAACAGCGATGTCCTTGCATTCTATTATCTCCATTGCCACCTCCTCAGTCCAGATCTGCTACACATCTCCTCTGCCATCTCTTCACTACAGTCGCTGACACCTCCAGGCCAGGATGACTATTTCAGAGCTTGCAATAAACGAGGCTTCAGACTATTAAGGGAGAAAGAAGAGACTGTCTCTCATTAGTTGTGAGATTGTTGTGGAGTGCAATTGATGGTTGACTTAAAAAAATTCTTCTGGCTCAACCAATACTTGTTGCCCATCTTAATTGACTCTCAACTGCCCTCTCGGCAATCACATTGCTTTGGCTCTGGAGTCACATATAGGCCAGACCACATCAGGATGACACATTTCCTTCGTGGGACTTTAGTCTAATAGATGAGGTTTTACAACACTTGATGTGGTTGCCATCAGGCTAGCTTTTTATTTCAGATTTTATTGAATGCAAATTTCACCATGATGATATTTGAACCCATGTCTCTAGAACATTAGCCTGCGATTCTGAATTATTTGTCCAGTAACATTACCACTACACCACCTTCAATGACTGCATTTCAGCACAAATGAGATTTAAGTGATGTCTAAATAGTTATTTTTGAGTGCAGCTGAAAGCAGTTTAAAGCCACTGATGTCAAAAGATATTAAACATTTCTGGCGAGAGAGATCAGTGCAGCACTTCAATATTGTGGAGCTTAAAGTAGTAGTGATGGGAAATCATAATTGAGACAGTAATGGGATAGTATAAACAGGATCTTGGTAGTTTTCTGAAAAATACACAGTCACCATTCTTAGAAGCTCAGTTCAAATGTATAGTCCCACAGTGATTGAATGGACCAGGATATGTACACAAAAAAAACTTTAATATTAAACTTGATCTCTTAAAAAAATTGTATATTAGTTAGGCCCTTCTTCTTGGAGTTGCAGAACACTTTCTGTTTAAACCTTTTTCAATGAGTTTGGTGTTGTGACGACACCATTAGATTTTTTTTTCAAATTACCTTGGTGCATGGGTGCCTTTAAACTTCTTCCCAAGATATCACAGACTTTTTTTTGTAATAGACTTTCTGAATGGGAACAGAATGGTGCAAACAGAATTTGCTGGAGAAGCTCAGCAGGTCTACCCACATCTGTAGAGAGACAGGTGAAGTTAGTGCTTGGAGTTCAAAATAAACTCACTTCCCGCATAAATTTAAGAATCTCCAGCATCTGCTGTATTTTGTTTTTATGATGGCGGTGGAAATTGTGGTGAGTATACCAATTTAATTTGCAACGAGTTCACTGCTCAGCTGGCAATGTTTTGACTGGATCACACAAAGTTTAAAACTCAGTCTGTCTCCTCAGTGCATTGGATGTGCACGATCTTGTTGCCCATTGATGTTGACTGCTGACTTCAAAACAGGACACATCACTCCACACCAATCCTGCATAAACCCCACTTTGGGGCAGGAGCAACAAGGGACTCAGGGTAAACCATTCTTGTCTAGAGAACAGTTAGAATGTGTAACCTACTACTATATGGAATCAGTGAGGCTATGAACATCAGTACCTTTCCCTTAAATGTATGTAAGCACATCAGGAGAAAAAGATTAGAAACATCCATTGATAGGTTTAATGAAAATAGGCTTATGTGGTGTATAAGACAACTGGGCAGTTCCAGTAGTTATGTGATTCTATAGGAAGAAATCTGTAGAGTGCAAAGCCTGCAATAGAAAACATCTGACTGCAGGAGCCTTGGTTAATTTAAGAGAATTATTTAATAGCAGAGATGTTCAGTTCCCTATTGTTTTTACATCCACTCTTCTGACAGCAGAACAACCTAAAAAAAATCAATGTTGAGGTTATTTTCAAGCTACTGACATTTGACTAACTTTCACACATGGAGTTTAACTATTTTGATTACTGCTGACCTTAATTACAGTCCGTAGATATAAATGGTCAGAGGCAAAGTATTAAAGAGCTTTATGCGTCATTGGATGCCACTATGTCAGTCAGTTTTCCTGCCTCTCAGTGAGGAGCATTGCATCAGATCATATTGAGAGGTAATGCACTAAAAATGACTTCAGTCCTTGGTCAGGGCATATCCTGTACAGATTATACATTTATAACTCAACCTCACTATTTAATTTTTATCTAATAGTCATCCATTACATAACATTCCTTTTACATTATTTGTTTGTGCTTTTTCCAAAACCTTGATCAATGTATTGAATCAGTGGCGGACATGTACTTACATAAAAGAAGAATTAAGGACAGACTAAACAGCTGCACCATTCTCTCATATCTAAGCACCCTTCAACTCCTTGCCAAAGTAGATTGGCGATCAGAACTTGGAATATATTCAACATTATAGTTCAGTCTGTTGATTGTACTGGCAGCAAATCATGACTACTTGTCGACATTTGGATTACTGTTATTGTTGCATTGTGTTCCAGTTTACACCTACGATTCCTCATTCGAACAAAGACCAAAGGCTTACTTTGTTTATTTCAGCCTGGCAGTGTGAAATAGTGTGCCCACATCACCTTGGTATTTTTTTGGTGGCCTGGTTATGGTGGCGGTGTCAGGAATCAGGACAGCTAACTAAGCTGAGAATCCAGGCCTATCATTGGAAGCTGAATGCACTGCCTTTGTCCATCTACTTCCACGTCCCTGCAAGTTGCAGAGAACAGTACAGCTACCTGAAGGCAGCAATCCCAATTGCAGGCTAGGGTAACCAGTGCACCAGACCAGCCCAGAAGCCTGTCTGCTTCAGCATCGGATGTGGGCCACCCCGCTTGAAGAGATTATCCCCACAGCAACAGTGGCCCATTGGCAAAGGCCCTTTCTTAATTTAAGATTCAAAACCATTGATGAGAGAGCGAACATCTCCATTGTGGATGTCATCTCCCTCACTTACCTGCCACAGTATCTTGGCGTTTCTCTGGTGTTGCAGGGTTTCTATGTTCATCACCCAGTTTCTGAAACCCGCTTGCCATTCTTAAATGAATGGAAATCTCACCATCCGGTACTGATTGTGCAATTTGGTGAAAATCCCAATTGAATGACAGTTACCCACAGAAAATAGACTTGTACATTTCAAGAATCCGACGAAGCCCACAGATATATATAAAAAAAACTTGCCACAAGATTCCGATCCCAACACAGAACATTTTGCTTATCCAAAAAAATTACTGGGGAGAACTTGGCAGGTCTGGCAGCATCTAAAGAAGGGTCACTAGACCTGAAATGTTAACTCTGCTTTCTCTCCCTGGATGCTGCCACAACTGCAGACTTCCTCCAGCAATTTCTCGTTTTGGTTCAGATTTCCAGCATCCATGGTTCTTCATATCTGTCCTTTTTCCAAGTGTACTTATTACAAAATAGGCTTTGGGCCAGCATTTACCCTAACCGTATCACAGCTATTAAAGAAAACAGAAAGACTTCCACTTTTATTACACTCCTGGCAAACAAAAGATGCCTCAAAGCACTTTACAGTCTATGAAGCATTTTTGAAGAGTATCACTGTTGAAGAAAAATGTGACAGCTAACATGTGTTAAGCAATCTCTTATAAAAAGAAAGGATCAGCTATTCTTCTGATGTTAATTGAGGGATAACTGTTGACCAGGACATTCGAGATAACTCTCCTGTTCTCATTCAAAGTAATGCCATGGGATCTTTTACAACCACCCACCTGCGCAGTTGGGAGCTCATTTTCCTGCCTCATCTGAAAGAGAGAACCTCCTGTGTGACTCCCAAAGTACTGCAGTAGATTGATAATGCTAACTTGTTGTGCTCAAGCCCTGCTGTGGGACTGGTAATAGGGAGCAGTCTTGCCTCCACAACGTTATGGCTGACATTGCTCACTCATTACTGGAGATAGCATCATGTAGCTGGAATACAACAATTACAGCAGACAATAAGCTGTACCGTAGCAAAGACCAGGGCATTCCCGAAGGAGATACTAGCAAAAGGGCAAATGAGACAAACAGATTTATCTATTTTCAAAAGTACAAGCCCAGTACAACCTGCCTGATTTCAAGTATTAACGGTTTTTACTGTTATTGAACTTGAAGAAGAGAAAAAAAAAATTGCTGGGGATGACAGTTTCTGTAAATCTTGAAGGTTCACTTTAGGAGTACAGTCAGATGTGCAAAACATGACCACTTGGAGCTAACACTTACCAGGGATCCTAGAGCACCCGAAAAGCAGCTTCAAAGGAAGTATCTGAAAACATTTGCTACACACTTAAATGAATACAATTCTGCAGAAGCATACTTTGGCACATCACTGATAGATGGTGAGTATAATGGGTGATTATTTGTAGCAACCTAGTAGAGATTGGGATGTAATGGGGAAGGAGCATTGTGTAGAGATTGGGATGTAATGGGGAAGGAGCATTGTGTAGAGCTATGTGACATACACTCACCCTTGGTTTATGCCCCAGTCATTTCTGATGCAGAGATGCTTGTGAACAGGATCTTTTGTATATCCTTCCTTGCAGCCACATTCACCTGCAGAAAATAGAGTGAGATCAGATTTGAAACAAGACTCAAATCTTCCCAAAACTAAAAAAAAACTTTCCAACCGGCATAACCAGACCAAAGAGCTGCTGTTTATCTGAATCTTATTATTTCAGGCACTCAATAAAAATTAGATTAGCAACAAATTTAGAAGCTAAGTTGATTAGCCCCCTGAAAGCGAGCATGATATTGCAAAGTGTAATTTACCCCCCTGTCATTTAATGCAATGCAGGTGGCGTGTCACCTTCATGCTGCTTGCTCTTTTGACCAACTTCTCAGGGTAGCCGGCACTAACCAAGCCGTTGATTAATACAGTGGAGAGAGTGGAAAGCTACAAATTCCTAGTGCCACGTAAAGCTAATACACTATGTAAAGGCAAAAAGTGCTGGGAAATGACAGCGTGTCTATCGGCATCTGTGAAAACAGAAACAGAGTTAGAAAAAGGTTCAGGTTAATGCCCGTTCATCAGAATGGAGATCTCTTCCTCAGAGGATCGGTGTACCCTAACCTGCCAATGAAGGAGTCATTATTAGAATACCCATTGTCGAGTCTGGGTTAAAAAACAATGAAAGACTGATACCATTGAGGATGTCAGTATCCTCCCATTTTGTCCTTCTTCTCAAATTCTACTTGCTTCTCATCCAACAATCTCTTCCAATGTGCAAGCTACTGATGGCATAAACACGCAACTCATCCTCCTACCCTGGCCCTCACACCACAAATGATAACCTGGAGTTACTTTTCTTGGTTACCAAAATAAGTTTCAAGCTGACTGGGCAGTGAAGAAAAGTGGAGAGGTCACCTGATCTTACACTCGCAGCCACCACCGTTCGTTAGGTATATCTTTCGAGATGGTTTAGAGACAGGATGGTGACAGGGGACATGAGACAGGCGCAGCTAGAGAAAGGCAGAAAAGGATAGCACAGGTGCTAGTGCAAGAACAAAAAGTTTTGCTGCAGACAAGATGATGATGTCCCAATCCTCAGAAGAAGTCTGATCGGCATTCCCGATGCTTGGCACATTAGGGAGCCTGTCAGAAACCAGTGTCAGGGAGAATAGTAGCACAACCTTGGCACTGAACTTTGTCAAAGCATGGAGTTGCTGGCAAACAATTCAAGCACTTGTGGTACTAAAGATACAGCATACGATGGCTGGGATCACGTTTGCATTGCAGTACAAGCAGTAACTAGCCATCATCTGAATACTGCAGTGAATACTCTGACTGGAGGCATCTTGGCTGTGAACTACAGTTTACAGAATTCACCCATTCTGCCTTAAACAGATTTTTTTTATACTATCATGGGATGAAGGCAAGGCCAGAATTTGTTGCCTATCCTTAATTATTCTTGAACTGAGTGAGCAGCTCAGCCACTTCAGATGGCAATCAAAAGTCAACTACATTGCTGGGGGTCAGGAGTCACATGTAGATCAGAGTAAGTAAGGATGGCTAATTTCCTTCCCTCAAGGACATGAATGATCTGTTTTTAAAAAATCCATTCATTTAACAAATAGCTTCATGGTCACCATTACCGATAATGGACCACAATTCACACCGAGATGGCAAATGAGGCCTAAAGCAGGTGACAGCCTTACCACATTATCTTAGATCCAATGTTCTTGTTGAATGGATTTCATATTTGAAGTGCTTATTGTAAAGTGCAGGGTGGCAAAAAAAGATTTTCTTACAGTGATGCAGCATGCAAGAGCCACACCTCTGGACATGGGCCCAATGTCACCAGCATATATCATGCTCTGAAAGCAAGTTAGGATAACCCAGCCGAATTACCATCAGTCGAATTTCTCCGAAATCCAGGAAATGCCTCTCAAAAAAAATGAGGGAGAATCAAGACGATGCATGACCAACATGCCACTTTGGAACTAACTAAGCAATATGTAGGATTAAAACAAGAGGTCAGAGTCATACACTATACAGAATGAGCAGAAGTGTCAAATCCTACAAAATCACAACCCTGAATGGAATAACATTGAGGAGAAATAGATCAACTCATGGAACTACAGAACTCCAATTGTGCTCTTAGCACACACAAAAATACGTTGGTGCAGACTCAATGGGCTGAAGGGCCACTACTGTACAAGATAAACTTAGATACTGAAGATGTGGAAGACCATGAGGATGGCACCCATCATGCTCATTACATGGAAATCTGACACCCACAGGTTGAAAACGCATGTGTGGAGATTAAATCTCCAGAAGGTTATACCATTGCAAGATCTGCAATAATTGTCAAACCACCAACATGTTATAGAGACTCTTCAAATGTTTCAATTATTGTTGCTGCATTCCAACTATCCAAGGGCTATGATGAAACACCACATGTTAGAGACTGGATGCATCCCCAGATATGTGATTGCAAGCTGTGGACTGAACTGTTAAATAAGCTTGTTTGAGCTTTTTGAGCAAACTGAGCCCGTGCTGCTTATGTGTATTACTTACCACAAAATTTAACGCAGTCAGGAATGCTTATTGTGTGGTCATTTTTTACTTTTGGACTTTGCCCAAGTTAATGCTGTAATGGAAAGTGATAGAGGAAAGGTAACATTTGGGACATTTGGTAAATAAGGGAGTAAATGTTCTGTTACTGGTGTTACACACTGAGTTCATCCTGGTTAGCCTGGGGAGAACAAAAAAAGTGATTTTATTCTTTTCTCTCCTGCTCCTTCCCCTGCTGAAACAGCTTGCCATGGAGCTGGTACCAAGAGCTGTCCCCTCAGGGTGGCAAGGTTGGGCAACATGCTGCCTATTACCACAATCTCGATCACTGCTTGGCAGAGTGGCGCAGGGTCCTTTACAGCTGTCTGGGCACAGGATTGGTTCTCTCACCATGATGATGGTGTGCTCTATCACGTTTTGTGTGGCATTGTAGCCCTCACTGAAAAACAAACTCAGCATGTGTGTCTGGGGTGTGCACAGGAATCTTCAAGAGCAGGCAGCTCCTGTTGCTAAGTAGCTACGCTTTCCGTTTGCTCACATAGTCACAGCAGACAATACTGGAATGAAAGTTTCAAGAAGAGTGACTACTGCCAGAACCCACGGCACTGAGCCGCATTATTTGCTGCTACGGCCACACACCAGCTGCATGCAGATAGAATGAATTCCTCTTGGTTTTAGTGCAAGATGGAGTTGACATTTAAAACACATAAAACCCTGTGCACGTCATCAATGGCACTCTTCATAATGGCGCTGTTGCACTGAAGCTACGTGCTCACTTGCAAAGCTTGCCTTTAGCAAGAGAGAGGGGAAATCTAAATGCACTTCATTAACATAGCTTCAGTGACCTCCCTTGTGCAACAGTGGGTGGCAAACTGCTTGATGTTGCAAATCTCTCTGCCTCAATCTCGAAGTCTTCAACACATTCACCTTCATAGCCAGTAGAAGTGCAATTCTTACACCGCTTTTAAGATTGGAGTTTTGATAGTGGAGGTAGATTTCACCATAACTTCCATTATGAAGTGTAAGTGTCTCACGCATCGTTCTTTGTTGAGGTAGGAGAACAGTTTCCTGAAAATCCAGGGCAGATAAGACATCTTGCTGTGAGCCTTCCTCCCCCTCTTCCAGTTACCTCGTTTTTATTATGTTCTTTCATGGGACATAGATCTTGTCAGCTCCATAATCATTTTGGTGTCCATCCCTAATTGGCCATGAACAGAATTGCTTTCGAAACCATTTTTGAGAGTCAAGCCCTGGAGTTTTATGTAGGCCAGTTTCTAGCAGTTTGCCTAATTTTACGTGACCTTTGCTCATTTTCCAACTTGTGTTGATCGATGCTCTGCAAAATCCCAGCAGACATTTACCATGCATGTGCTAAAGCCTGCACAGCATCCAGGGCAATTCATGCCAGATGCTGCAGATGATACTTTATTATCTAAGAACACACACGGTGGCGAAAACACAGGCACTTAGTGAACAGTATTTCAACCATCCAGCTTAGTTGAAGTTACCAAACTCTAATATGCCTTCTTCATTTGGGCTGCACAATTATGGAGTATCATATTCATTTATTTTCTGTAATGATCATTGAACCTAAATGTTCTGTAATTGCAATGAACACTGTTTTGACACAGTCAGTTGGCAGAAGCTGTTTTTCTGCTGTTTTTATTTACGGAGGCTATCATTCTTGATGATTTTGCTGGGGCAAAAATATCAATCAATCATTTTGATTAAAATTGTGTCCGGGCTCATTTTAAATACTCTGAATGAAGTTCAACTATTTCCAAATCTCATCTGCAGATAATATCTCAGCCTTCAAAGCACCTTGAACCGTACAAAACATTCAATTAAACAAAACAAGTCTGTCACCAGGATCCACCTATCATGAAAAAGAAAAAAAAAACTGCACTTGTCAATCGCTCCTTTCAGTGCTGAAACAAAACAGTTGTTACTTGCTTGTGATCAGAAAGGCTAGTGTCTGCATGTCATCTTTTCAATGGATTGCATTTTCCCCAAGTAACATTATTAAACCTAACAGATCCTGACCCCAATTCCCTTCCTCATAGCAAGCTTCATTGGTAAGAAAGTAATAGAGGTCTGCCGATTACATGATTCAGTGGCTGAGCACTGATTCAAATGGAATACGAGAAAGGTCTGCTTACCTTGTGCGAGTAGAGATTTCTCCCTTGTTTTGTACAGTGCATTTTAAAACATAAATCTAGCTAAAACAAGACTAAGGGAAGAGAACTGTGATTGGTATTTGAATTCTGACATTGCTGGACTCTCAGATACAGGCAGGCAGGTCAAATATAACTCCATCTGGCCTGATATTTTTCATTACTTTAGAGTGAAATTAACTTGCATCACCTTAATCCATTTCTTAACAGCAAAGAATATCCACATTTCAAAACTGCTCATAATTCTGTATTAATTGGGCAGCCTTTCTTTAAAAAAAACATATTGAGATCGTTAGTGTGGGATGTAAAAAAAAATTGCCATTAGTGTAGTCGTTACAAGTCCAAGCACGTTGTTGGGGGTTATT